AACCCAAACCCAAAACCCAAACCCAAACCCAAACCCAAAACCCAAACCCAAACCCAAACCCAAAACCCAAAACCTCTAGGCTCGACCGGGTTGTCAAGGGCCCCTAATCGAAATCTCACTCTCTTCCTTTATTTACAGACCTTCTTAATGTCATCGTGTCCATTCTAAGTCACTCTCAGCCCCTCAGGGTACAGGATTGGCTTAGGGAGGCATTCCCCAGAACACGCCTATTATGACATCATCGGCGTAAATTTTTATTTTTATTTCCCTTCATAGAATTCTGAATGTGTAAGATTTCTTTCGACTTACCTGAAAATTAGTTTTCGTAAAAAAGAATGCTTTGATTATTATTATGATAATGATTCAGCTTGCGCATCAATGTTTAAAGACAAGAACTGGGCAACAATTGGAAACAATGTGTTTTCTGAATGAAATGTGAAAATATAACTATCATTAATTGATGTATATTTGATAATAATCTAAATCCTTGCATTTGGATCGATGAAAAGTGCATTACTAAAACCTGCTAGACTCTAATTGCACATCAAAGAAATATCAAAATATAGAGTGATTGAAAAGAAATTTATGATAATTTAATTATTGATAGTTATTTTGGAACTTCGAAATCTTGATCAAAATAATTCATTGAATAGAATCTAGCAATACAAACTATTAAATTAGGACCCTGTGATTATTGTTTTAACCATTTGATCCAATCTTTACCGTTTTGCAATCCTGCTCTATAGTGTCATTAGTTTGGCTCGTTAAATTGGTGTTGATTTTAAGGCTCTTCAGGTAGCAACTCTATCTTTATAGATACAAATGAATTAGCTGATTTAGACTTAGATGGAAGGGTAAGTCTTCCAATTTACTTAAAATCTCTATTTTAATTTATTTCTTCAGACAAACTTGATTAGATATATATCAGGTGAAATATTCCTGAATTCATTTAATTTGATAATGCCTTAGTTTTTGAACATATACTATTTCAAATGAATTATGTTGCAAGCTGAGATTAATTGGTCTCAGTCTGATTAATTAAGAAACTCATTCTTACCATTGAGGCTGATTCTGCCTTGCATCCTATATTTAAATATGATTGTTTGATCGACTCAATTTTTCATTTAAGCAGTTTTATTCTGAAATTGTTTTTCTTTTTAGGCCATTCCTAAGTGTATTATTTATGCAATGGTTTTCATAGCAATCAAGAACGTTTTACAATTAATGAGTTAAACTATATTATGAAAAAGCATAAAAATTAGCATATAATTTTATGCAATACTGTTAAAAATCTTTACTTTAAACAATAAAACTGTTGTTTTATGGAAACTGAAAGAGAAATTGATTGGTTGATAGCATCATCTAATCATGTTATGAGACTATGTTATTGAATCTAAGTTGATTAGAAAATACACAAAGTTTGAAAAATTTTAATTCTGAATGGAAATCTTGACGAGAATGTAATTATTTTAAGTTAAAATTAAAAAGTTCCATCAGTCTATGTAAATTTATATCTAGGAAGGCAACATAATCTAAACAGCGAATAGCTGTCCACCTATTGTCAAAATCACTTACACATTTTTTTATCTGAAGGAAGATCAATAAATCTATCTGAAGGTTTAGCCTCCTCTTAATCATTTTAACATAACGTCCTTGGGTTCAAAATCTAAAAATAACAATACTCCCTTTTAATTTCAACTCATCCATTAATCACTTTTCAATAACAAAGAGTTTGAATTCTGTTATCATAATTAAGGATACTTATATTTCATTTAATATGAAAATTGGCAAAACTAAAATTTTAATGTTCCATAATAAACTGCGCTAAAATAATATTATTAATGTTATATTAATATCATTGATGAATTGGAATAAATACACATTACTCTTGGATCTGAATTACTTTATATCATTAGTATAGGAATAAGCGAAATTTACAGATAATTTGCATTTAAATCAATTAGATTAGAGAATGATCAATTAATCTTAAAATTTATGCTTTAATCTCAATTAAAAGGGCAAAATTAAGTTTCTGTATATAAAAGTAATTCTATAATAAATTAAATTTCATTGATTTAATTTGTTAAGATTAAAAATGTTTTTAATTAAAACTAATGCTTTTTTGGGGATGCACATACATGAAATAAATCAAAATTAAAAAATAAATCTTAAGTTTAAAACTTAAGACAAAAATTCTGGATAAAGAAGCTTTCTAAATTTAAACAATTCAAGAATGAAGTGCTGAAGAGGCTTTAATGATTTACTTACATAACTAAGGGTCTGACCTAAGCCTTGAAGCCTCTGACAGCTAGAATTAAAATTGAAATCTGAAGAAGACATTCGAACAATAAAAGAACTGATAAAAATCATTCCCTATAAAACAACGTAAGAAAAAAAAAATGTTTCCTTCCATAAATCTAAAGAAGACTACTAAATCATCATTGAGGTAATCACAATTACTATAAAACTATGAACGATGTAGTTTAGATTTTACCTTAATCAGCCCAAAGCTCTTGGAACATAATTAATATATACTTTAATCATTATTTAAAAATTAAAGGAGTGTTTCTAAACTCCATAATTACTTAGAAGGCAAATACAGATTTCAGAAATAGCTTAAATAAATTTGTAAAAATACTGATGTATCTAGCAATTGTATTCCGTTTAATTATAATATGTTAATCAATAAACATTAAATACATATATTATTTTTTTATTTGACTAACATGTAAATTTTTTTAAAGTTAGGATTGATTCGGTTTATAGATATCAGTTTAAACTTGAAATTTGGAAATGTTTATTATTTTTGTCACTCACAAGATCTTCATCACATTATAGTTAGAATTTATTATAGTTATTGTTAACTCACCCTAATTTTAGTTGTTGGATAAGATGGGCTTTATTTTCTTTTTTGTTAATGATGTGCTTTTCCATCATCTATATTCTCAATTTATAAATGCAGGGAATGATTGTCATATTAAGAAACTTGCATATATAATATTTTAAATATTCACATTACCCAATTTATAGATATACCAATTGAAGAGAAGAAAGAATAATACAATCTAGATATATGGAATAACTTCAAACTAACTCAACAAAAATTCCACAAGAAAGAATTTTCTGATTAGTAAAGCAAGTATTACTGCTAAATATTTTATTTCTGTTTAATATAAATGAAAGAGTTATAAAAAAGGGTTTTTAATCAATATTTTAGTTGGATAATTGAAAAGTAACTGAAAAGGGAGGTAAATACAAATTTTAAGTATATGAGCCTTTTTATCTTTTTTGTTTGTCTTAATACTTAATTTTTAAAATTGATAAAATATAATTAATCCATTTAATTGAACAATTTGAGAAAAATGTAATTAATTGTAGGAATTATTCAAAAATAAGAAAAAAACTTTAAGAATTGTTTATCATAAAAGATATGATTAATTTGAAAGATTGATATTTATTCTTTTTTCCCTTATAAGTATGAATTGAAGCACTTTCATGTTTCTTTATTACACAAGTTTATCAAGTTTACCCTCTTAATAAAATGGTTTAGATCATAAATCTGTTGTATGTTTTCAATAAAAATATAAAAATCAATATATGAAGACCCTCATTAGAACGATTATTTTTTTTGAATAATTTTTTTTAAAACGTAAATTTTTGTGTTATTATGACTCTTTTCCTATCAATATTGTTGATTAAAATTATCTATTGGTTGCCAAAACATTAGCAAGTTTCTAAGAAAGTTTTTTTATGAAAAAAAATGAAATGTGATTATTACCACACTTAAATAATTAATTTTACAAAATTATTAATATCGTTTTAATTTAATTGTAGAATTTTCATCCATTTTCCTTTCATGAAATACAGGCTTGAAAATACCTAGCTAAACAATTTGGATTGCCCTCTAAATTTAAGAAATTATTATGTTTTAAGATTATTGATTTTAGAAGATTGAATAGTTAACCGAAAAATAGACTAAAAGTTTTTAATAATATATTATGATTAGAAAGATTATTCAATTTTGTTTATTGACCCTCCAACTTGTTCATGGATTTAGGAGTTTATATAGTAATTATGATAAGGCCGGTTACATGATTGAGTGTAAAGGAGGACATTCTCATGCACCTGGAATGCATCCTCATCCTTGTGTTTGTAATGTAATAATTTGGATATAGAATTTAACTCTGCTTGTCAATCAGTCTCAGAACCGAAAATGGTTATACTTAATGGAAATGAAGCTCTATGCCATCCGAGACTTCAAGAATATATAGTGTGGCCACTTCAATACTTTGAATAGGTGTTGTTCTGCTAGAATAAAGCTATAATCTATGAATATTCAGAGGATACCGATTTAGTTCTTTCCTGTTTATTTGTGCTTGACAGCTGTCTTATAGCTTAAAGGTCTGGAGATATTGTTAAGTGCTAATATTGTTCTGGTTATAAAAATGGGGAAGGATGCTTGCCATCACCTGGTAGTACTTTAATTCCATATTTAGGTTGCGGAAATAATTGTGCAAGTTGCGTATCAAATGATTGTGGAACATGTAAGGAAGGGTTTTCTCCATCAAGTAGCACAGATTTAAAATGTAGTTTAGGTAAATCTTCATTATGTATTCTAGCCTGCTAACCAACTCATTTGAGTTGTACGGTAGTTGATGGTGTATACTCATTTTAAGGATGCAGAAAAGGCTACGAGCTGGTTGATAATTTATGCGTGGGTATTAATAATATAAAGATTTAAGCATGCCCTTAAAAATGCACTGCTTGTGTTAATGGTATTTGCACTGGATGCGAGTTTCATTATTTTTTAAAAGACAATTAATGTTTTGGAGATATCAATTGCACTAAATTTGATTATAATTATGATCCTAATACTGGATTAGCTGTTGGGATAACATGTTAAATATGTGACTTTGGATATTTTTATAATCCAATTCAACAAAAATGCACTCGTAATATATGTTAAATATTTAAGTCTGCAAAGAGTAGCCTGGTTTAGAAAAATGTTTGATTTGTTTTAACGCGACGGAATGCAAAATTTGTTTGGGAACGCATATAATAACAGCTGATAAGAAATGCACACCATTTCTTGGTTGCTCCTCAAATTGTTAAACCTGCCTTTATACTGATCCTGAATATTGTACAACTTGCAATTTGAAGGAAAAATTTCAATCTTCAAAAATCGTGCCTGGAAAATGTGTTTGTGATTATCCAAATAATTACATTGATAAGGATGGGGGATGTGCGAAATGTACAGATGGGTAATGCTAGACTTGTGGTAAAGATTATTATGAATGCACATCTTGTAAACCAATAACAAATAGAGTGCTTTTTAATGCTCTATGTATATGCAAACAAGGATATTACGAGACTGGTTTGGCTGATCAAATATGCTTAAGTATATTTAAAATTAAACTAGAATGCTATGCTGATTGTTACAATTGTAAAGGACCTTATAATAATGATTGTACCGAATGTGGAGATCCTAGTATTTATAATAAATACTTTGATAATGGATCATGCTTTTGCTTAGAAAGAACATTGCTGTAAATTCAACCTGACGGAAATAGTATTTGCAAACGTAATAATATTAATCATTTAATTAGCTTGCCATCCTAGATGCTAAAAATGTTCTCAGCTATAGGACGCTTCAACAAATTAATATTGTACCATGTGTATCCCAGGTCAACGTAGAGCTTTATCAAATGATTACAAATGTGTTTGTTAAGATGGATATGGAAGCGATGGAATCTAAGATATTTGCATTAGTACCTGATTTATAAGATAATCATAGAGTGCCATTATTCATGTATGAGTTGTAAAGGACCTCTTGAAACTGATTGTTTATAATGTTCCTCCATTGCTCATAGATATTTGACAATTGATAATAAATGTTCTTGCACCTAAGCCTATTATGATCCTGGTTTCTACGATCAAATTTGCTATTGTAAATCTATTTTTCAATAATTATTAGTATCTTGTCATCATTCTTGTACTAGTTGCAATGTTTATGGCTAAGATTAATGCACTTCATGCCCTACAACAAGAAATGCTGTTTAAGTTGGAACTACTTTCTAATGTCTTTGCAAAGATTCGCACTATTATAGTGATCCGCTCTTTTTAGAATGTTAGCCCTGCCATCTCACATGCAAAACTTGCAATGGCACAAATCAAACTAACTGTCTAACTTGCGATACTAATTACAGACAATTGGTGATTTCAAAATGCGACTGCTACTCTGGTTATTATAGCACAGGCAGTCTGTAGTGTTCATGTGAATATTTAATACTTACTATTAGAGTGTCATTATACCTGCCTATCGTGTTTTTCTTCGGATGAAGAATCTTGTATCACTTGTGCTTCAGATAAAAACAGAGTTATGAAAGCAAACAAATGCATCTGCATGAATAATACAATGTAAACATCAAACACCGATTCAATGTGTGAAAGTAAATTTTTCATCTTAATTTAGACTGCTCATATCGTTGTTCATCTTGTACTATAAAGCCAGAGAATTGCACAACATGCCCTGATTCATCGGAACGTGACTTAGGGACTGATAATTCTTGTTAATGTCCAGCTTTTTATTATGATTAACCTGGCAATCCCATTTGCATAAGTTTTATTTTAAATTTAATTTTAGAATGTCATAGTACTTGTCAAACCTGTCAAGGGTCCTAAAGTAATTAATGTACATCTTGTAATCTTCTAAGTAAAAGAGAATTGAGCTCCAATGGCGAATGCAAATGCCAAAATTCATACTTTGATACAGGAATACAAGAATGTTAAAGTATATACTAATCATCATATTTATAAGTTTGCAGTAGTGATTGTTTAAACTGCACTATTACTCCTACAAATTGTACATCTTGTAAACCAGATAGATATTTAGTTGGAAACAGTTGTTTATGCAAAACAAAACTTTAAGGCAGTTATTTAACTACATATTTAGTGCCATTGAAAAACCGTTGTTAAAGTAAATTAAGGAAATTTATAATCAGGTTGCCATTATAGTTGTCTATCATGCAGTGGTCCATTAATAAATTAATGTGTGTCTTGTTTGAATTCAGAATCAAGAATTTTAGTTGCTACAAGTTGTGTTTGTGTAGAAAATACCTTTGATATCAGTATTCCTAATTGTCAAAGTAATTTATTCCTTCATCATGTTAAGAATGCGATTATCGATGTTAAGGATGCACAATATAACCTACTCTATGTAAAGCTTGCCCATCATTGAGCTTAAGGGTATTTAATCCTTCAAACTCTTCTTGTAATTGCCCCAGTGAATATTATGATGATGGAGTTAATATTGTTTGTTAAAGTAGAATTTTATAATAGCATTAGAATGCGATTACTCTTGTTTGACATGTGAAATAACATCAACTAGATGTGATTCTTGTTAAGTTAATTCATTTCGAACTTACAATGCTTTACTATTTTCTTGCCCTTGTAATGATTATTATTATGATTCTGGAATTTCTATTTGTAAATAATGTCATTACTCCTGTTCACTATGTAATGCTTTTGGGGCTGATTCATGTATAAGCTGTTAACCTCAAGCAACATCATTTAGAATATTGAATGAAAAAGTTTGCTAATGCCAACCTGGATATTATGATGATGGATTTTCTTCAAATTGTTAAAAATGCTTATACAAATGTTAAAACTGCATTACTTCATAATCTAATTGCACATCTTGTGTGTAAACAAGGCATTTATATCAAAATCAATGCCTATGTGACACTGGTTATTATGATAGTGGCTAAAGTAATTGTAGTAAATGCGATTCAAATTGTTACAATTGCAATTACAATTCAAAATTATGTACAGAATGTGATTCGAATAGCTTAAAAATTTTGAACACAAATAATAATACCTGCTATTGTTAACCAGGCACAACTGAAATAAATGAATTATGTTAATACTGTGATGTAAATTGCTAGACTTGCTCAAATAGTATTACAAATTGTACTTCTTGTGGAATATTGAAACTGCTAATTAATTCAGAATGCATCTGTATCAATGGAACTTATTTGTCGAACTTAGATAATAAATGTTATACATGTAATTCTACCTGTGAAACTTGTGGTGGATAAGCCACATTTTGCTTGAGTTGTTCTTCAGATAAAAATAGAATTCTAAATGATAAAAATCGCACTTGTATTTGCATGGCTGGATATTATGAAGATGTTGTAAATAACTCTTGTTTATAATGCGATCAAACATGCTTAACTTGTTTTGGTAATTCTTCAAATTGCACAGAATGTGATTCAAGTCTGAACTTAACAATAAATTAGTAAAATAGATGCGTTTGCAAATCAGGTTACTTTTTTAATCTTATTGCCTAATAATGTTAAAGTATTATTTACATTTATTTAAGTTTGCCACTTTAGTTGCAATGAATGCTAAAGTTAAACTTAATGTTTGACTTGTGAATTAATAACTCGATATTTTGATAGTGATACATCAAAATGCTTTTGCAAGGATGGCTTTTTCGAAGCGAATCAAAAATCATGTTTATGTAATAAATCTGATTAAAAATTATAGAATGTCACAGTAGTTGTAAAACATGTTAGACTTAATCAAATAAATGTCTATCTTGTGATTCATCTTCTTTTAGATATTTTTAAATGAATTCTTGCCCCTGTCTTGATGGGTATTATGAGGTTGGAATTGAAATGTGTCAAAAATGCAGTGAAATTTGTAAAACTTGCTAGATAAGTTCAACAAAATGTTAATCCTGTTACCCAAATCATCTTCGTGCAGTAAATCAAAATAATTGTACTTGCATTCCTGGGTATTTTGATAATGGATCAGAAATATGTGAAAGTATTTATCATTTTTAATTAGAATGCTCAAATTCTTGTTAGACTTGTAAAAATTAAAAAGATTATTGCACTAGTTGTGATCTTAATTAAAATAGATTAGATTAATCTATTATTCATAAATGTCCTTGCATTTCTGATTTTTATTAGGATTCTAATGAAATTTGCTAAAGTATTATTTCTTTTAACTTAGAATGCCATGTAAAATGTTCTGGGTGTGTGAATGATAGAAATAATTGCTTAAGCTGCAAATATATCTAAGGTTCCAATAGATTAACAATTGCAAATCAGTGTAATTGTAAAATTGGATATTATGATGATGATGTCCACATTATCTGTAATAAATGTGATAGTCGTTGTATTACTTGTGAAAATGATGCAAAAAATTGTCTTTAATGCTTCAGTAACTTAAGAATAAATCCACCGGATTGTTCATGTAGGAACGGCTACTTTGAAACATCATAACTAATTTGTGAAGGTAGTTGTTATTATTATTACCAAGCTTGCGAAATTTAATGCAATACATGCTAAACTATGCCGTCCAATTGCTTAACGTGTAAGGAAGGTCGTATAAACAAATCGTGTGAATGTGAAGAAGGATATTTTGAAGGTGGCCAACCTTTATGCATTTGTAGATATTGAATCAATATTTTAAGAATGTGATTTTTAATGTCAAAAATGCGAACATTATCCAGCTAATTGCCTAGCATGTAAAGGTGATAGATTGGAAATTCCATTTTGCCTATGTTAGGATGGATATTATGATGATTTTTAAAGTGTGGATTGTTTGAAATGTGATTAAACTTGTAAAACATGTACTTTGTATGAATGTTTAACATGTAATGGCAATAGAATTTTATCTGATCAAATGACTTGTGATCCGCCTCCAAATTCAGTTAGCTCCCTATTAACTCCTTGGTGTTCAAGTATAATATTCATAATATCAAAGATTGCGAAGTAGCAGTGATGAAGATTATATTATCTGATGATCTGACAGCAATAATTGTATAATTTGATTTCCCCTTAAATCCAAATTTCTTTTCAACTTCAACTTAACTTGATAGCAACCCTTGCTTTAACGTACTAAACTATACTACTCTTTCAAAATTAGGAATAAATCCAATGTGTATAATAGATCCAGATAATGAACATTAGTTAATTTTGAATCTAGGTCGCAATCCCACTATTATTCCAGGAGATTTAATTGAATTTTTGCCAGGTTCATTCGGTCACAAAAATTGTAATAGCAAGCTGTAGTACTTTGAATTAAATAAAATGCAAAAACCTTCAAATCCATTAGCCCCTGTTATCAAATATGATGTACCTACCTATCTTTGTAATCCTTGTAATGAGAACATTATATTAATGGAATAAAAACTCTATGATGGATTAAGAAGTTTTATCTCCGTATCATGGTCTTTTATTGTGCAGGGGGAAAACGGAAATGGTGATCTTGCTAATTTCGTAACTGAATTAACAAATTTATAATTATTGGATCTAGCAATCCCAGAAAAAACATTACCAATCTACTCTAATGTTACCTTATTTGTGGAAGTTCAAAACTTTGTTTAAAAAACAAATGTTTTCTAAATATTTATTCAAACACATGCAGGATAATTTCCTAGTATTTTTTCGAAGTTTAAACTGTAATATTATCCTTTTGAATCTATAAATCTGGCCTTCACTTTAATTTCTAAAAGTTGCATAGAAAATTCAAAAATATCAAATGATAATTCTCAATATTAAATTGAATTTTATGAAATATATAGAAATAATTCTATATCTAGACCTTCTAACCTTAACTATACTAAATTAATTAATTCCAACTTAATGGAATTTAATATTCAAAGCTACTCCTTAAGTGCTTGGACAGATTATACATTTCAATTAACTATTTCAGATTCTTCAATTTAATATTATTCCTAGCAAAATGTAACTGTTTAGATTAAGTCAGCAGGAATTCTTTGCCAATTTAATGGAACAAAGAGATTGCAAAATTATATAGATGTTACAAATATTTACATCTAATGCAAAGATCTTGATGTTTAATATAATTGGAATGAAGATCCAGATTTGTCAATAATAGTTAGTTGCTTAGATCTAACGTCACAAGAAAAATGTATGGATTCTAATTAGAAAAATTTATAAATTAATTCTACCTCAACAAGTTAGTTTTTTCCTAAAGCTTCTTTTTAGCCATTCACAATTTAAGCGTGGACTGTAATAGCTACGAAAAATTCATAATCATACAGTTATAAAATCATTATTGTATATTTAGAATAAGATTTCAAAATCCTAAACATCGATTATAATATTGGATATTTGGTAAGGCCTGTTAATAATTATGAAGATTTATAATTTACATTTAATATACCTTTTCAGAATAGACAATACCTTATAGATTATTAAATAGCAATAATTTATGATTATTAACTAATTTCAATACTGCGGCCCCAATACTACAAATATTCCTTTTAATTATATGATTATTATTAATAATTTAATAAAGGAAATAAATTTAACCTAAAGTTTTTAGCTCAATATACTAATGATATCATTCCTGATCAAGCAGACTTAAGCCTAATTTTAAATTAACCTCCAATTTGCAGATTTCAAATGCTAGAATAAAATATCAAAGCCTTAGAGTCTCAAAAAATGGCAATTAATTGTGAATAGTCTGATGATAAACCATATCTTTATTAAATGAAAGTTTTTTTGCTTAAAGATGATTTTGAAGAGTTTCAAAATAAATAATCAGATAATTCACTACTTTTCAACAGCTTTCAGAAATCTAGTAATTTAATAGGATATTTTCCTAATTTAGAAATTAATGTCATATTTTAGATCATAGATTAAGGAGGGTCTATTACAAACATTTAAAAGCAATTAAATATGTCACAGAATCAAGTTGCCTGTGCGAATTAAGCTATAGATCAATTAATATTGAAGGAAAAAATTGCGTGGATATTTGAGATAATGATTAATCGTTAAGACGAATTAAATTGCATCAAAATGAAGGATGAATTATTAGAATATGTTGAATTGGCAATAAACTCTTAAGATATTTATGAATAATTATTAGCCCATCAAACAATTGATCTATACAAAAAATTAATAATGAAATAGTAGGCTTCCAATACTTCAACAAGGTTATTAGAGTAAAATTAGCAACATGAATGCTACAATAATGACACATTTCTCTTTATTAATACTAATTAAGAACACTTCTTGAAAAGCAGCACTAATATTTCATTCTTAGTAACTTAATCTTAAAAAGTGGAAAAATAAGTAACAAATTTAATAAAGTTGAAGTTGAATTTTGAGAAGTAATATGAACAAAATACTCTAATAGTTGATACTTAGTCAATTATGCTGATTAAAAGCTTAATCTAGATGCTATAAATTTCAGTACAATTAATTGATTATTAATTTGTAATTATTTCTCAAAATGTAACGTCAGCAGAGAATTAAGAGCAAGTAGCAAAGATATCTGAAAAATTAATTTATTTAATTGATAATATTACAACTCATATTAGTGGCAGTGTCTAAGTGAATGGATAGGTTTTATTGATTTAAGGAATGATGTTGAAATTATAATTTTAAAAACTTACGAAGTCAAAACATAATATAGATTTTTAAATGCAGAATGATTACTTAGATAATTTAATTACATTCATACAGAAGTAATAACTAATAGTGAATTATAATTATTATAATCAATCACAAACTTACAGGACTATGCTGCAAATTTACTTAAATAGATCAGATTTTGAGATTGATTAAAATCATTTAGTCAAAACAATGCTAACTAATTTCCTTTATACTAATTCCTAAATTAATCAGCTTGAATTAAGTAATTATTATAGAATTGACCTGGTAGAATTTTAATTTTGCGAAGCTTCAAACCAGTTTTCTGTAGCTGTTGAATATAATTATTATTGTATTAATCATATAACGGAAAATAAATTTGAAAAATGTGATTTAGAAATGGAAGAAATTGATAATGAAAGCACACAACTCTTTTGTAAATGCAAGACAATTGGAAATTTATTTTTGATAAAAATTGCTAATAAAACGATAACATACAATAATAGTACATTAGTAAATTAATTTTAATTTGATTTTTTATCGATTAAATTATTTGAGCACGCTTTTCTATTTGTCTAGGGAGGAGTTATTTTATTATCCTTTTTTGTTTATTGTACCCTATTATACAAAGAATATAAAAGTTAAAAGAAGAGAGACGTAGTATAAAGTTAAAGTGAAGGATAAGATACTCTAGAGGTAGGTCAGAAGGTATTGGGGAAAAAACTCTATCCTGGCCACGTTTTTATTTTTAAAGCATCTTTCAAGGTAAATTACTTAATTATAAAATAGTATCTCCATTCAATTTTGTAATTTTTTTAAGATGAAGAAAGCAATTTGAAAAATGTAAATAAAAGCTTTAAATTTTTACAGCTTAGTAATTAATTAAGCATTTTAATATTAATATCTATTTGGGAAGTCTTAACTCCAAATTTCATACTTATGAATGCATTAATAAACCTCCTTATTCTATTAGGCGTGAGAACAATCACAAAGATATTTTAAGCAATTTATTAATTTGGAGGCAAAATTGCTATCGCAGTAGTTCTACTGTATTTTTGCCTTCTTGGTATCTTTTTATTACTTACAATTTTTGAATTAAATTAAATGTATATTATTTTATTATCTTATATTAGTGAAGTAAATAAGACTGACATGAACATTTAAATAGCTCTCAATATATTAAGCACTTTATTTTTAGTTTTTTTCATTTTTGAGCCAATCGCAATTTATCTAAGAATTGTTTTATACAAAACCTTCTTTGAAAGTGCTAGCAATAATGAATATATACCAATTAACCATTTTATATATTTCTTTATCTATCATAGTAGATTAAATAGAATTTATGAGTAACTAAATATTAAATGAAATATATTTAATTTTAATATACTTAATTGGTCATTCATTATAAATTATTAACCGAATAAAACATCAATAATGCATTTCGTGTCTAATTTACATAATTATAATATTTCCTAATTCTTTAGATAGATTAGTTATTAAAACTTTAAATATATTTCCAATGACAAACATCTAGCTAAAGCCTCTCTATGAAAACATAGTATTTTTAAGCTGAGAAATTTTTCAATCTTGTTTTCGATAAGTTCCTCAATTAATTTTCTTACTATTTGTTGAATTTTCAGAATAATCTTTGATGAATTTCTAAATTCTTAGCAATAGAAAGAAAATATCGTTATTTTTTGAAAATGCCTTAAATATATATTTGACCCTTACAAAAATAGGATAAATAGATAAACACAAGACTATTTTTTCAGGATTATATAAAATATTCAATTCGACAAATACGATTCTTAATAAATTAAGTAGGTTTTTGAAATTTCATTTACAAATTATTATAATAATTTAAAATATCAAGTCTAATTAATGAGATGAAGAATCACTAAAGTCTACATTTATCAATTTCACAATCATAGTTTCTTAAGACATTGATTTCAGAACTAATAAATATAAAATGTAAATATTTAACTGGATTTTGTTAAAGTTTACTTGTTTCCATTCAGAACGCCTAACTTCATTAGGAGACTATGATTATGTCATGTTCTAGCTTTTACATTCAACTCAGATTAGAAGTAAGGAGATGAATGATATCAGTAAGCAAAGCAGGCGCATGCATTAGATTAAAAATGATATTGGGTAAACCAAATGCTAGGACATACATAGTCTTCATGCATAAAAATCTCAAAATAACATTAGGAGCGCAAATACAGGAACAGGGGCACAAGATTCACTAGTGTACTAGGTTGTCATAATAAAGTAATGATAGGATAGCAAGTAGATTATTCACAAGCATTTAATACAAGCTATAGGATTTGTAGTACACTCCCCAAACTTAGCGGCTAAGCTGGCAACATAACATTTATTTGGTCATTGTTGTAATTGAATATACAGACAATTGGGGGAAAATCTACGCATACGATCTAAAAACTAATTAAGAATGAATCTTGTATAAGTGCAGTAGGATTAACTAATAGTAAGTTGTTTGAAAATGATTTTGCCGTATAGGACTCTCAGCTGCTGATCCTTAAGCATCATAGAATTAGGTATAATGCTTCTAAATAGCGATATCAGCTAAATGTCAAACAGACATACAATACAAGTTATACTCACTGTTTCCGCAAGATACACTAGCAAGTAATTTAAGAAAACATGAGAGATCTTGAGATTTATAGTGAATCTTAGGACATTAAAGAGACTAAGCTATAAATTTTACAGTTTCCATTGTTATATGATATCTCATACTTAACAACTGTAATTAGAAAGCAAATGTCAAGAGGTACAAGGTAAAAAAACTTGTTCAATTTAAGAGCATTGGCATATTTATAAAATAAATTATGTATGTGTATTATATGAAAAAGTTAAGCAATCATTTGCGATGATCTAAGTGTGGTTTCTAAAAGGGCAACCATAAATATGTGTAAATTCAAAATTATGAAAGCTAAGGTATCAGCAGAACATAAACAGCAACGTAGATACTTTGAGGCGGTTAATTTTTCATGGAAATACAGATTCCTAGTGCGATAAAATGGAAAACTTTAGTAATAATAACAATTTATTGTTTTAATTATTAATTCTTACTAAATGATGTTGCTTGTAGGGTATCATAATTACCAAGGCATGTGAAGATAATTGTTGGAAAAAAGTTCATGTTTCACTGCCTTTTTACAATTATCAATACAAGACATTGAAATAGTATTTGCTTGAGCAAGTTAATTAATTATTAAAGAATAATATATAGTATACATATTTTCATTTAAGATCTGATGTATTCAAAGTGTTTAGTTCTGGAGATTATTCATGAAGTACTGCTATAAGAATAGACGATAAAATTAATATCTATCATGATTACATTAAGTAATCAATAAAGGTAGGAATTTTTACTAATATCATTTAGTGTTAGTCATGAAAGAGTTTCCAATTTCACAAATTGTGCTTATATTATGATTATGATTTAGAATGCTTAAGGTTTGATAATATGACTGAGAACAAAAATTAAATGTCACATTAATTCTTGAAAGACAGTTCAATGACTAAAAACAATGAAGAAAATCTAGATAAGAAGTAACTGATTAATATGATGGATGTAATTCCAATTTGATTATAATTACTTGTATTTCAAGTAGCCATTCTTTAAGTATATGAAATAAATGTGCTAATGATTAATTGTATAGCTGAATAATAATTAATGTAAGACTCCCAAAAATTTTATAATAGAATATTAAAGAACCGTTTGAATGATGATGCTCAATAAAATTAGCAATAGAAGTCCAAAAATAATAGAAATATTTCTCTGAAGGGTGTGGTGGGCTGATTTGCAAAAGTAATAGCAAATATTAAAGGTTCATTCTTACAGATCCATGATCATATAGAGCAAGCAGCATTTTTTGATATACTTCTTAAAAAAGCAGGAGATCAGAAATCATTCAATCTTTATCTATTTTCATCTACAGTTGCTGTAATTTAAGAACTCTCAACACAAATAGAAAACACTAGTTTGAAATGTTGTTTGATAAGATGATTTTCTATAAGATAATTTAGAAATCAACACTAGCTATCAGTAAGTTCAACAATTATCACAGTCGTCTTGTAGACGCCTGATACAAGCTTTAGTTTAAACTGCTTACAAGTTATTAATAAAATTAACAAAAAATTACTGCTCAATCGGCGCACCTTATATTATGTTGTTGAAAAAATATGTAGGATAAGCAAAACCTTCTATATCTAATCTATTTTAATCAATGGGAAAATAAATAGAGAGCAGCTCCCTTTTAAAATACAAATTGTATCGAGTCACATAATGGAACAAATCATATTCTTTGAAATTATGTATTTTAAAAGCGATTATTATTTTTGAATTGAGAAAATAGAAATATACAAATTCTTAAAGGCCCCTAATTTGAAAAGAAATCATAAACGCCAGGATCCTATTTTGAGCCAGTCGAAAAAATTTTTTAAATAGCATAAGCTTGTGAAATATTGAAAGCAGATAGAGTATTTTGTTAATTTTAAACGGAATACACAAGAAAAAAAGCAACGAAAATCAGTATATATTAATACATAGGCTTATAAGTATATCGTGATAAAATAATCTATAAGTATTTATTTCTATCCTAATAAGGATGTTCTTGTAATAATTTCTTTTCTTACTAAGTTCAAACAAATTATCTTAACTAACTATAGCTATCAATTATCTAAATTTAGAATCATTTATTAAGATAATTGAATTTTTTTTTCTCCTCTTCTTTAATTTATTTCAGTCAAGTCAAAAATATCTTTAATAACATATAAATGGTACATAAGCACTTATATTAACAAATATTTTCTAAGCAAAGAAAATTTCTAATGAACACAGTAATCACAAAACAACACTGAGTAGAGTTTATTAAAGTAAAAATTTATTCTGTTACAAGAAATAGAAAGGGGATGTAAGATTGCTGAGATTTTTATCGATCAATCTGAATAATCCTTAAATACGAAATTCCGATACGAAGTAGACCATGAATATATATTTACTGACAAGTTCATTATAATAGTAGTAGTTAACAGTTAATATATGTATCATCATGTGATAGCATAAATGTTGCTGAAATTCTAAGAAGGGTTCAAGGAGCTCCAACATTATTCTAAGAGCATGCAGCACTACTTTTAGTTAAGTAGATTATTTGATAACAGAATAAACACAAACTATAAGTTGCCGATTTACTTTGCAAGGAAGTATATTAAGTTGAATCAAAAATTTTGAAACTTTATTATTATGCTCATGGTTTCCTTCAGGATTATAATGATGGACTACTTAATATTAAGTATAAGTATCTAATAAGATATAATTAGTACACGCAGTTTTATGTAAAGATTGATTTTGAGTTCTATAAGCAATATTTACTGCTAGGAAGCATTATCGTTTTAATAAATATATTGGCTAACTTCAATTAATAAAAATGCAATCTAAAAAATTAACAATACTCCTTTCAAATTTATTTTATTTGTTAAAAACAAATTAATACAAAAATTTAAAACATCTTGCAACAGATTTAAATCAGAGTTACTATAAGAAGTTATGTACCTTTTGAAAAAATTTTGAATAATTTCATTTTAAAAAATAACTTGATTCATCAATAGTATTTGAAGCAATATATAATAATATA